CGTCGCCTAAAAATAAACGAAACAATATGCTCTTTAATTGCACTGAAAAGAAAGAAAAAACATACGGCAATGATAATTTCCATAAACAGATTTAATGCATTAGTAGTATCCAAAACTATTATATCTGACAAGATCTTCATATTTAACAAAAGTATATTTTCTGTTCTTCAGCTAATTTCTAGATTTGTATAAAATGGAAACATTTGTGATTATCTGGAGTACCTACGAGATGGTTGGGGCAAATCTAAAGAAACGGAACTGTCCTGTGAAAAGGGGACATGTGGTCACCCTAGCTGGTGAAGGCTGTCTAGCCGCAACGTTCACTTGTTTGTGTTTGTGATAATGTAAAACCTACTGGTTCAACTTTTCGTTCGGTTTGATATCATTTTATGAGACCAAAATGCGGCCTTGATTCTAACGCACGCGAGCTCTCTCTCTCTCTCTCTCTCTCTCTCTCTCTCTCTCTCTCTCTCTCTCTCTCTCTCTCTCTCTCTCTCTCACTCTCTCTCTCACTCTCTCTCTCTCTCTATCTATCTATCTATCTATCTATCTATCTATCTATCTATCTATCTATCTATCTATCTATCTATCTATCTATCTATCTATCTATCTATCTATCTATCTATCTATCTATCTATCTATCTATCTATCTATCTATCTATCTATCTATCTATCTATCTATCTATCTATCTATCTATCTGTCTGTCTGTCTGTCTGTCTGTCTGTCTGTCTGTCTGTCTGTCTGTCTGTCTGTCTGTCTGTCTGTCTGTCTGTCTGTCTGTCTGTCTGTCTGTCTGTCTGTCTGTCTGTCTGTCTGTCTGTCTGTCTGTCTGTCTGTCTGTCTGTCTGTCTGTCTGTCTGTCTGTCTGTCTGTCTGTCTGTCTGTCTGTCTGTCTGTCTGTCTGTCTGTCTGTCTGTCTGTCTGTCTGTCTGTCTGTCTGTCTGTCTGTCTGTCTGTCTGTCTGTCTGTCTGTCTGTCTGTCTGTCTGTCTGTCTGTCTGTCTGTCTGTCTGTCTGTCTGTCTGTCTGTCTGTCTGTCTGTCTATCTATCTATCTATCTATCTATCTATCTATCTATCTATCTATCTATCTATCTATCTATCTATCTATCTATCTATCTATCTATCTATCTATCTATCGATCGATCGATCGATCGATCGATCGATCGATCGATCGATCGATCGATCGATCGATCGATCGATCGATCGATCGATCTATCTATCTATCTATCTATCTATCTATCTATCTATCTATCTATCTATCTATCTATCTATCTATCTATCTATCTATCTATCTATCTATCTATCTATCTATCTATCTATCTATCTATCTATCTATCTATCTATCTATCTATCTATCTATCTATCTATCTATCTATCTATCTATCTATCTCGTTCTCTTTCTGTCTCTCTCATTGTCTCTCTTAATCTCTCTCTCTCTCATTCTCTCTCACATTCTCCTTCTCTCTCTCTCTCTCTCTCTCTCTTTTATTTCCTCTCTCTCATTCTCTTTCTCTCTCTCATTCTCTCTCATTCTATCTCTAATTTTCTCTCTCTCTCTCGTTCTCTTTCTCTCTTTCTCATTTTCTCGCTCTTTCGTTTTCTTTTTCTCTCTCTCTCGTTATCTCTCGTTCTCTTTCTCTCTTTCACTCTCTCTTGTTCTTTCTCTCTCATTCTCTCCCTCATTCTCTCTCTCTCTCAAGCACTCACTTCTGTCATGGCTTCTGTTGCAGGGATTGCCTGACAACAAGCTGTCCAAGGAAGACTTCGAGGCTCTTTGGAGAGAATACTTTGTGGCTGAAGACGAGGATGCAAAGGGCAACTATCTGTTCGGCAGACAAAAGCATTAATTGGGCCTTCCGTGCAATTGTATACTGTACATCAGTGGTATATTTAATACAAGGGTATTAAAATAATTGTTATGATCGTCCAAATCCATTCAACATATAGTTTATATTTGTGCTAACATATTTGTCCCTTTTTTAACAAAATAATGTCTCATGTTAAACATTCGAAACAAACTTAGTTTACTTGCTTACTAGCAGTTATTGAATAAGTTTTGCAAAGAACAACAAAGAGTATTGCAAGGCTGCTCCGGGGAGAATAGTAGGAAAAGGCAAGATGAACATACAATCAGACTGTTACTAGTACTATCATTATTGGAACTCTGCACTCGCTGCTGGAGAAAAATACGGGTCACTTATGGGAATGTCGCCCATTATGTTGTGATACATAAGAACTATTATCACAGCCTTCCGGACATATTCATTTGCGCTCTGATCTCGTCATCTACGGTTCCATTAGCGTCTTCTATCAGTTGTGAGGCGAAGTAGAAAGTATGGGGATGCGTTATGGTTAGAATGTGTTCCTAATACATGATTAAATGCACGTGTTATCATATCAACTAGATTTTCAACTGTATGTGTACAAAGTACTCATTTAACAACAATCTCTTAGCTTTTTGTTGCATAAATGGTTAAAAAAATACGTTTGAATGAAAACAGAAAGCTAGTATAACCGCTTATTGCATGAACAAATGGAGTCAATTTCAAAATTGCTTGAAGCCACTGCACCCCCCCCCCCTTTTTTTTTCCCCCAATCCCACGTTTAGGAGAAAATAAAAACGTCCTTGCACAAAGGTGTTGAAAATCTCTGGTTTAGAGTAACAGCATTTCATTTTTTTTTCTTAGTACATCTGCTCATCTTTAGCATTTCAATTCAAAATCTTTAGCATTTCAGTTCAAAATCTTTAGCATATCAGTTCAAAATCTTTAGCATATCAGTTCAAAATCTTTAGCATTTCAGTTCAAAATCTTTAGCATTTCAGTTCAAAATCTTAAGCAATTTCAGTTCAAAATCTTTAGCATTTCAGTTCAAAATCTTTAGCATTTCAGTTCAAAAGTCCATATTTGTTTCCTTAATGACTGCGAGATAGTCCGTGTGTTGCTAGATGGAAGATGCGTGCCCTACAAATGTGGACTTCGATTTCCTTCTTGTGCTTTAAGTTTTTTTTATGCTGTTCAATCTTTTCTCTGCTTTGGCCATCCGCTTTTTTACTTCTAAGTCAATACCACTTGCTGTAAACTATTTGTTATTTGCCACTTATTAATGTATTTCCGGTAAAACATGTCCTCTACTGTGATATAAAGAAAAAGCAACGGGGACATAAATGATATAGGTATTTAGACGAATTTATGAAAACATAATGTCATGAACATTTTTGCAAGGAAATGGAAAATCGCATCAACTTTGTGCTTTCAATGTCAGACATGTATACTTGGCTTTGAAAAAAAAGTAATACACTGAAGCAAATTATGGGTGCACTACACACAAGGAGATCACTACTTAAATTGCACACAAAAAAGTTGAATCCTTCGACACCAAGCAAGGTAATGTGCGGTTATTGCTTACCCAGCATTATGTAATAATTTATAAACATTTAAATAATTATAATAATTAAATACTAATTAAAGCCCATCTACTCAAAAAATGCTGGACTCCCCATCAAGCCATCACATGGACGCCTGAAAGAAAAAAAAGAAAACATGGGAAGACCAAGAGAGATCCTGAGTAGAACCATCATCAGAGAAAGCTCAACCACAGACCTAATGAACATCCAAGAGCTAAAACAGGTGGCCAACGAACCACTAGACATGGACAGCTATGACTTTTGCCCTACTGGCCGCCTCAAGCCCAAGAGGAAAGACTAACTAACTGACTCAAAATCACCACCTGTGAGAAAAACTCACTGAGAAAAGAAGCATTTAACCATTTGAGATCAATTAAATAACGATACTATCAGAGACAATGGGGGAACGATACCTGGTGTTATATTCATCGGGAAACAGCAAAGCAAATGGTTTGGCCATCTCGTTAGAATGCAGCAACATCAAATACTATCACAAGCACTACATCTCCATAGATCAGCTACAAAAACAAGAGGACAGCCACGAACAATGGATCGACAATATTAGAGACACTCAAAGCCTTCACGGCATAACAATAGCCAGTCATAGCCAGCGTGCACTGGATCACAAATTACTTCTCCCCAAGGCGCTTAACGGCAGAAATTTGTTATGATGATGATGATGATAATGATGATGATGACATAATAAACAAAATGAGTCATGACCCGGTAGGAATTTTCTGACAGAGGGGACCCCTGTGACGGATAAATTCTGTACTTGTTGACCTATGCCGTAATCCCTTGACCTCTACAACCGAGGCTTACGGGAAATGTGACATCAGTTTGGCTTTGAAAATACATCAGGGTGATAAGTAAACCCTCCTGAATGATTTTAGTTTTTATATTTATATTCTGGATTATTAAACACTGTGAAGGAGCACAACGACCAGTTGTATACAACTACGCTTTGCCCCGCACTTACACATGTAAGATGCAAAAAATAAAAAGCACAAAAAAAGATTTTAAGTGGGGCCCTGAAAAGGAGCCTTGTTGGGGAACTCAGTGACAAGCTTATCGATTTCGATGTGGTGTACAAGGAAACAGCCAAGGAACAATCATAGACAGAGTGCGTAACAGCTCACACAGGCAAAAAGGAAAGGACAAATAGCAAGATCGGCAACTAAGGCACAACCAAACGCCTACAAAAAAAACTAAACGACCTAGAGTCAGCACATAAACAAGGACTCGATATAGTCACCGCTCAATCAGGAGCAGACTGAAAGAGTCGAGGAGCTTTATTATTTTTGTTTTCTAAGATCAATCAATCAATCATAACAGGTTACTCCACACATGTCTATATATCGGCATTTGCGGGACTGTGTCTTCACTTAGCAACAGGGTCAACAGTTATATGTGCCAGCTGATGGTCTAAACTTTCTTAAACCAATCTTCAAAACCAGATGCCCGTACTATTTTTTATATTCGCTTTTGTATTATTTCATTTCTGCTTTCATTTTAAACACTTTATCCTTTTCCTCTTAATCACTTATTTACATTACATAATACCAATTCCTATTTTATTGTCTAATTAATGTGCAAATATTTTTCATCTCCTCCATATTGAGAGAATTCAAAATATGAATTTATTTTACGAAATAAAGAAAAACTTTTCCCTGTGTGAACACATTGAAGAATTTGACTTATTTTCATTGTTGTTTTCCCCACCCCCCGTTTTTGTTTTAAAAATGTTGTTGTTGTTATAGTACTGTTGTTGACTTGGTCTCAGTGCGCGCGAGCGTGTGTGTGTGTGTGTGTGTGTGTGCGCGCGCGAGCACATTCTCCCCAGTTAGTGTTTCAATGCATGGGTGCTCTTTCTGGCGAGCAAAGTTTAGGTTTAAGCAACGGATCGACATCATGGCACAAGGGTTTCAACCCATAAGTTTAGGTTTAAGCAACGGATCGACATCATGGCACAAGGGTGGCAACCCATAAGTTTAGGTTTAAGCAACGGATCAACATCATGGCACAAAGGTAGCAACCTATAAGTTCTCCGTTCAAGCCTGACTCAGAACAATCTCAGAACTCCGTAGCACCGATGAGGATCCTGAAATACTTTGGGTAGATTTTCAACTCCGTATTTTGCCCGAGCAGCGATGTTAAGCTACTCTTTTGAATCTCCAACTGCCAAGGGAATTTTTTTGCGTGCTCAACAATGCACACGGGCGTCCAGTCCTACTACCAAGAGACTAGGAAAAAATACTAGAAGTTCACGTGAAAAAAAATCGTGGCCTTCTCCGGGCCCTAAACAAGGTGCCTATAGCATTCAAGGCGGACGCCATGCCTCGAGACCACTCAGCCCCGGATCTATCCTGCTGCACTGTCCACTTGATCCCAGATATTCTTCATCATATCTGCTTTATAATACAATAGCGCATCGCCCAGAGGAATGGCAGCAGACAATGTATGCGCCTTTGATTTCCCTGCACACCAGAATACCATGGGAACATAAATTCGTAACATGCCCCTGTTCTGAGGGATGTCAGAATTAAATAACGTGTAAAAGGATTATGATGTTCATGACGACGACGATAGTGATGATGATGGTGACCCCAATTTTGGTCCCAATGGGGTCGTGTAGTATGATCGCGTTTCACGTTGGTCGAGATTCCTTCTGAAAAGATCAACCTCATCAAAGTCTTCCTCGTGTAGGTACTGGCACCCCATATGAAGGAAGTGGGAGGGGGGGGGGGGATGCGGTAGAGCCACTGTCCCCTATAAAACATATGGGCAAAGTCGACCAATTAAGTTTGGTTCCTTCAATGTCGGAATGCATTTTCATGAGAGGCGAGGAATCAACAGTCTGTGTAGGGATAAGAAATATCTGTAAAACAGATGTGCATGCAAACTTCAAGTTATGGAACAAGACCAAATTCCAGAAGTGGACGAACAGCAAACATTTTAGCGGTTCAGTTTACAACCGGTAAACTTCGAGACGAAAAAGAAGAAGAAGAAGAAGAAGAAGAAGAAGAAGAAGAAGAAGAAGAAGAAGAAGAAGAAGAAGAAGAAGAAGAAGAAGAAGAAGAAGAAGAAGAAGAAGAAGAAGAAGAAGAAGAAGAAGAAGAAGAAGAAGAAGAAGAAGAAGAAGAAGAAGAAGAAGAAGAAGAAGAAGAAGAAGAAGAAGAAGAAGAAGAAGAAGAAGAAGAAGAAGAAGAAGAAGAAGAAGAAGAAGAAGAAGAAAGAAGAGGAAGAAGAAGAAGAAGAAGAAGAAGAAGAAGAAGAAGAAGAAGAAGAAGAAGAAGAAGAAGAAGAAGAAGAAGAAGAAGAAGAAGAAGAAGAAGAAGAAGAAGAAGAAGAAGAAGGAGGAGGTGGAGGAGGAGGATGAGGAGAAGAAGAAGAAATTAATGGCAACAGAATAAGGGAAAGACCACACTGAAAATGGAACAACGGCATCAAGAGCAGCTAAAAATGAAGACCATCGTATGCAACACATTGGAAAGAGCACACAGAAGATCATTACGCCTCAGTGGCAAAGGAAGGGTGTGCCGATGTGTAAGTGCGAAGAGGGGAAGGGGGGTAACAACATGACAAAAATATGTGTTTTTGGTTAGTTCTACGTTAGTCTCCCCAAATAGAGTAGGTCACTTTTCATTCACAAGTTTGTTAGGCTGGTCGAATTTACTGAAAGTTACGGGTGGGTCCCGGTCTGTTGTTTGGTTTCTGCGATGTCTTGCATTTATGTTTTCATTCCTAATAAAAAAGAATACCTGTGACATAAGTTGCAGCACTCTCTAGGGGGGTTGTGTTAGACCCAGTTTCTTCATGTTTTTGGAGTGTTAAAGGCGCTGGCGTGCTAACACATTCAATCAAAACACATTCAATAAGCGATATCAACAACATTGCGGAAAACCCACGTAACAGTGTTCGAAGGACACGGAACTCAGGAACTACCAATCAGAAGTGAGCTAGTGTAGATATAGGCGGGATCTGGCGAGACTAAAGTCGAACTAACCGTGTTTTTAAACACACTCGTATGTATATAAGTCTCTCTCTCTCTCTCTCTCTCTCTCTCTCTCTCTCTCTCTCTCTCTCTCTCTCTGTGCTTGTGTGTGCTTGTGCTCGTGTGTGCTAATGTGGTTTGTGAATACTCGCGCGTGTTTGGGTGTTTATGTGTGGTGTGTTGGCGTGCGCGTGTCTATCCGTGCGTTTATGTGTGTGTGTGCATGGATGCGCGTGTTTGTGGGCGTGCGTGTGTATGGGTGTTAGTGTGCGGAGTGTAAGTGTGCGCATATATATCTATGTGTGTGTGTATTTATGTGTGTGTATATATTATATATGCATGTGTGCGCTTGCATTTGGGCGCGCACGCATGTGTATTTTGTGCGCGTGCGTATTGGGGCGGGATAAAAAGAAATGTATCTCACTGGGTACCTGACCTTTCTAGGCCTCTGCTTACACACATCGCCCCCCCTCCCCCGCCCCCAACATTTCGATGAAGTAACTGGAAGAAGAGCAGTAGAAGAGGAATACACAAATACATCAATGGTTCACTTGTGGTTACGGTTGAGTTATTCCTTGAATGCCCGCGGAATTCTGGGCTAGGTAGGGGAAGCAACTTAGAAGTTACTACGTGGAGTATGCAGAAATCTGTTCTTACGTTCAACAGTATTCTCGTTAAATTTTCGTTATTTTGTAGTCTTTCCTGTTTGTAACTGTTTCAGAAGGTTCCTTAACTTAAAATATATTGAACAGATGCTTACAATTTAGAGGAGATCAAGGTGTAATTGGAAGAATTCGCGTTGAAGGACCGCTGGGCTGAGACAGCTGGCTGGACCCCGATGTTTACATTGTCATTGTCACTTGACTTGACAGACGTCGTCGCGACGATGTAAAGTTGTACAGGTGTAAGTTCTTATGTTATTCAGCAGTTGCGAATTGGTAAAGAATATCTCCGTTGTAAATTAACTGATTTGTTTAACTGTAAAATCACCATCCATATGATTATGATCATTTATGTGACTTTCACTCCCGTCGTAACCCTTCAGGCTGAGGCGGGTCATAGCTCCCGATATCCGCACCGGCCTCGTCTCCATTCTCGTCTCTGTGATGATTGTATTGACTCTTGTCTTCGGTCTTCTTTCCACATGGTGACTCCAAGTGTTTTTATCTAGATCCTCTTCATATCGCTGTCGACACATAAGGCATTCACACATGATCTCCATTGCGATCGGTCTGCTGCTTTTCTGCCCATGGTATCCCATGTCAGTTTACATTCATTCATTTCCCGTTCTATTGTCCTTCTCCAGGTTTCTTTAGGTTGTCCACGTCTCCTTTTCCCCATCTGCTGTCCACCGGAGAGCTGTTTTTGCCAGAGTGTCACAAGGCATTCTGCAAACATGTCCAAGCCGTCTCCATTGTGTGTGTGGATAATACCATAATATATTATCTGTTCACAGTCTTACTGTCACTCCTTTGGCACACGATGATTGACAGGATATTCTGCTTCTTCTTCTTTTTCCGCTTCTTCTTCTTTTTCCGCTTCTTCTTTTTCACATTCACTGGCTGTAAACTCTGGCAAAAAGTTATGGTTGTTTGTCCATCACTGGAATTTAGTCTTGTTCCAGAATCTGAGTTTTGCAAGCACATCTGTTTAAAAAATCTGACTTAATTGTGTGCAGATTGTTGGTTCCTTGCCTCGCAGGCGGATGCACTCTGACTTCGCAGGAAGCCCCCAATCAGTCGACTCCTATGACATGCTTGTTAGGGATGCAGTGGGTCTTTTCTTGTTTTCCTCCCAATGGGGCCCTGGAACCCACACAGGTTTAACAACCCCAGCATTTCTTGACTGTTCATGGTTTTACTAGGCAGTTTGACATTCTGTAATTTGCCATTGCTTGCTGAATGGTCAGTGCATGAAGAAAAAGTAGACCAAAAAAGACATGGATACAGAACCTGACTGACTGGACAGGCCTCAGGCATGCAGCCATGAAGACCATCGCAACTGACCGCCAGAGGTGGAGAGAGCTGATCAGACGGTCAACACAAACTGGTAAACCATGTGGCATGCAGTGTTACAGGATGATGATGATGAATTATAACTTCAAGAGTGAGATTTTTAAATCTCAGGATGGCATGGGAAACCTTTAGATAGCACCTTCTAGGGAACCAAGTGATCAGTCTCTCAATCCCCAGTGAAAGTTGGCTGCAGTAGATCTCTAATATGCTCTGTCTTTTGCCCCAGATATTCACAGTCTCAGATTGCTATTCATTTATCTCTTGATGTTATCCTGTCACTTTTATCAGTCTGCCTCCTGCTTACTTGTCTTTAAACTGTTCCGTCCAGCATGGTTGTTATTAGAGACTGTTTTGTCAAGTAATATGGCTAAAATATTTCATTTGTCTTTTGTTTATTTCATTCAGCTACTCTTTCTCTCTCCCCCCCCCCCCCACCCCACATATCCCCAATTCGTCTCGTCAAAATGATTTTCTAGTTTGCTTGTTCATTGTCCAGGTTTCTGCACTGTAAAGCAGGATTGAGCATTACAATTCTCATTTTTAATGTGGAGTTTGTTTCTCTAGATGTCAGTACTTTTTTCTGTGCTGCCGAAAATATTTGTGACCTTTCCAGCTTTTTTTAGTTTTTTTACTTCTATATCATTTCTGCCATCGTCTGTTATTATATGACCAAGATTGGAGAAACTTGTTTCTTGTTTTAATTTCATTTATTTTACTGTTATGTTTATTGTTGGGTGCCATTTCCATTGTTAATTATCATAGTTTTTGTTTTTTTTGTATTAAAATAATCCCCAACAATTATTGGCATGGTGCAGGTAATTCTTCTTTGCGCTCACCAGCTGTAAACTCTGGTAGAAAGTTCTGGTTGTTCGTCCACTTTTGGACTGCAGTCCTGTTCCAAAACCTGAGTGATTCGTGTGCCTCCAATTGACAGATCTGACTCATTTGTGTGCAGACTGTTGGTTCCTTGCCTCTCTGACTTTGAAAGAAGCTCCCAGTTAGTCGACTCTTACGCCATGCTTTTGGGTAGGCAGTGGGTCTGTTCTTGTTTTCCCTATAACAGGACCCTGCAACCCACACAGGGAGTACAGGTAATTGATTTCGTAGAGCATCAAAGAATCAAATGGTTTTTTTTTCTCTGGTCAGAATGGAATCAAAATTAACCAGCAGCTAGAGTGTACTACTTGAGAACAGCAGGTTACAAGGCTGCCAAGAAATATTTGGGTGGAGAGAAGTAAGAGCGACACTTAAGAAATACAGTATGACATTAATATATACTACGCAGCCAGCAGAAGACAGGAAACAACATCTAACATCTCTTTGCGGTGCTTAATTGCATAATCAGTTTAATAAAATAAGAAGAAGATATAACTACTAGGCTTTATACACATGAATAGAGGAATCAGTCAAATATATACTGAATGCATATTTTACCAAAATTACAGGTGCTGTAATTAACATTGCATTGAAGCAAAGAAGTGAGGTTGGAACACACCACATTCATCCAGCTTAGCAAGAAGTCATTTCTCCAGGCCTCCAAGCAGCATGGGGGCAACCAGCAGCAGCCTCAATGAACTGTCCAGCAATGAATACCTCAAGCGATTGTCCGGCAGTGAGGCAATAGATCAGATGGATCCATTCTGGAATCAGCTGTTATCATTTTCTTTCCAGATACCGGTCAACAGGTAAGAAAAAAAAAAAAAAAAAAAAACATATATCTTCTTTTTCTTTGCATTTGATTTCCTGTGCTTAGATCAGACCATCAGGTGGGTTGTCTCTATGAACTCGTATGTCAGTAGCAGGTCCTTCATGGTTCCTCATAGCTTGCTCTGCACACTTTGCTCTTGAGGCCAGGTGTCTTTTTGAAATTGTAGGTAGAGTGGGCAGGTCTACAGAATGTGCTCAGATTTTTTGGTCCTGTCTGACCGGCACACTGTGGGGACTGTACAATATTTATGTTATGCATGTGGTAGTTGAGCCTGTAGTGTCCTGTTCGTAGATGGAAAATTGTTGTATGTTGCTTTCTGTTGTGTCTGCTGATGTGGTCTTGTGAATGTTTACTGTTAGTCTGAAAAACAGAGATAAGTAAATACACCCTGAATCAGTAGTTCTCAACCTTCCTTGTCGCAACCCCCCGACCATACAGTTATTTTCATTGCTACTTCATAACTTCAGTGAATATGTGATTGTAATGATCTTTGGTGACCCCTGTGAAAGGGTTGTTCAACCGAAGAAAAGGGTTGCGACCCATAGGTTGAGAACAGCTGCCATAAATGTTTAAGAGGTGACAGAAAGGTGAAGTTAACCACTTCCAGTTGAGTCTGCTTCCCCATAAATATCACTTTTCTGACTTGTCTATGGCAAGAAATCCTTAGTTAACTCCATTCCCCGAGTTCTCGCCTGCACATAGGAGGTCATGATATGTATACATTAATTAATTGGGGGGGGGGGGGGGGGGGGGGGGAATAGGGGGAATAGGAGGTGTGTCATCCATTAAGCCCAAATTACTCTCTTGTTAAAGCCATGTTGAGGTCAGATTTGTTCGCCTCAGTGATAGAGGTCATGAGACACCCTATACATGTGTGTTTTGTAGGCCCTGTTTGTGCTTGTTGGTTACTCCTTTTATATTTCTGTACATATTTCGGAAAAATTTAACATTTTAAACTAATTTATTAGGAAACTATACATTTTTTTTTAAATAGATTTTTTTTGGGGTAATTCTAACAGGTCATTACTTTTTTTTTTTTTTAATAAAGAAATGCATAGTCAGTTGCTTGATACCCAAATAGTGAAGCATCATTAGAGAGGAACAGTATGTCATCTATTGCTTGATGGGTAGCACTGGATATTTTCATTCTGTATGGATGTAAGGACTCCTTTCCACAGTATCAGAGTTATTGGGCATATTGGGTTAGACCTGGATTGAATAGACTGATCTGCATTCTTTGTGGATGTAGATTGTCTTTAATGTCATGAGTCTATCTTCTCCTTGGGAGAAGCCTTTTGCTTTCACATGAGATCCTTTCATGTGCACTGCCTGTGTTGGTATTTGTTCTGGCTGACAGAACCATTTGATCTCAATGAATTTGATGCAAGGTGTTGTTCCCACAGTCTGTCTGACAGTATCATTTCTCACTCCATCTTAGATGGTTAAATTGGTGGCTTTCCTCTGGCCTGTGATCTCCAAGGTGCAAATTTTACCTAGACTAGATTTTGGTAATGCAATCTTTTGGTTTCCTCTAGAATTTGCAGCTAACAGTTTCCCTATCAGTTTGGTAGTTGTTCTGGCTGACAGAACCATTTGATCTCAATGAATTTGATGCAAGGTGTTGTTCCCACAGTCTGTCTGACAGTATCATTTCTCACTCCATCTTAGATGGTTAAATTGGTGGCTTTCCTCTGGCCTGTGATCTCCAAGGTGCAATCTTTTGGTTTCCTCTTTTACCTAGACTAGATTTTGGTGACAGAAATGCAATGAATTTTTGGTTTCCCCTCTAGAATTTGCAGCAGGTGCAGCTAAAGTTACCTATCAGTTTGGTAGTTGTTCTGGTGACAGAACCATTTGCAATGACATTTTTGTGTTTGCCCACAAGCTGACAGTGACAGTTTTTCCCTATCAGTTTGGTAGTTGTTCTGGCTGACAGAACCATTTGATCTCAATGAATTTGATGCAAGGTGTTGTTCCCACAGTCTGTCTGACAGTATCATTTCTCACTCCATCTTAGATGGTTAAATTGGTGGCTTTCCTCTGGCCTGTGATCTCCAAGGTGCAAATTTTACCTAGACTAGATTTTGGTAATGCAATCTTTTGGT